AAATAGACTTTTTGCTCTACGGAGACGTATAGTAAAGTCTTGACAATGAACTTCATTACAGATTGTTAAATTTTGAAATGGCTACGACATTAAATCGTATATTCGATGCAAGCACACAATTTTCATTGGTATTTCAGTGGTTTTTCCAATAGCCTCCGTCCTTTGCAAAGGGGCATAATTATTGGTTAAAACATAAGGGGTATTCACAAATTGAGCAGGTGGTCTGGCACTCTGGCAATAGTCGTTGCTTGAGTTATCTGCTGTTTTGTCAGAGTGCCAGGCCATTTGCTAAACTTGGTGAATTCCTACATACATATATATAGTAGTTTGGCTGGAACTGCTCGGAGAAACTCCTTTCAAGGGAATTTTAAATATCAAAGGTTGTTTGATGCGAGTCCAAAACTACACATAGTACCGAAGAGAGAGGTTGCCATGTTTAATTTTTAGGTACATTTGTCTACTTTTAGGTAAAATTTTTTTCGGCAAATAAGTACAATTTGAAAATTTAATTCTTGTTCATATTGCGAAAATGTATTTAATGACCTCAGAAAATAAATTAATGCTGTCAAATCGACGAACGACGAGCGCTAACCCCGCTGATGGCGCCAACTATATTTTCTACATCGTGGCTTTGATATTAATACATATATACATACAACAAGCGCTGACAACAATTCGAGATAGAAAACTAACTTTAGGCGACAGGTAACTATTGTCTATCGTGTACACAGCTTGTAGAGCATGTGATAGAGAAAAGTTGAGATTTCCATATTTGGTCTCTAGCTAGAGTGAATATCTCCTAGAGTTGCTGTACTGTGTAAACTTAATTGAGAGAGGAGATTTTTATTTCAGTAAAACTCAAGAGAGATTTCTTTACCGTGTACGCTTAGCCAAGGCGAGTATCGATTCAACAAATACAACAATCACATGTATTTTGTTTTTGCTTTTAGCGGATCATTTCAGCTATTCTTCTCCAAAAGGAAAAGCGTGACAGAAAATGCAAACACTCTCACGTTTTCACTCACTCACTAGCAAAATATAAAATTTCATAAAATATCAAACAATACTCACAGCTGGTTAAACAATACCACCTTATTTAAATTCGCCTTGCGCTTATCTAACCAAAAGTAAAGTTGATTCCTTTGAAATTGTAAACAAAACTAAGCTAGAATGCAACTGTGTGAAGAGATAGTCGATGCTCCAGTCCAGTTCGAAGTACAAACGTGACGCAACAAGCATCAGAAGCGTCGGTTCTGCTGAACGATACTCCGCTCTGAAGTTATTGGAGGCTAAGTACTACAGGGAGATTATGAGGGCCTGTACAGGCTCTACATCGGATGAAGTTTGAACCTTTCCATCAGGTATGAAACCCATTAGAATAAGTATCTTGCAGCAACGTTGGAAAAGCTCTTTAAAAGTAGCGTGTACCATTTCCCTAATCTCAGATATTACTAAAGCCCGTTTTTATAGTGACAAATTACCTCTAACAGCGGCCTCCTTTCGGCAGGCAATAGGAAACCTCCGAGTGTATTTCTGTCATGAAAAACAGCTTCTAATAAAAATACAATCGCCGTTCGGAGTCGGCGTAAAACTGTAGGTCCCTCCCCTTTGTGTGACAACATCAAATCGGAAGAGGAGCTCCCCCAAGCACTAACATATTGTGTAAGAGCCAATCTATTATTATTGTGTTGATATTGTCCATAGATACTCACTAGGCTGATTAACTCGGTTTTTTCGAAACCTGTTTCAACCGTTTTTTTTGTATAGTCTTAGGCGGTGTTTCTTGAATCTTGATTTTTCGAATACCGAGTAAGCCAGATTTTTGCAATCGAATAAAGCGGGTGTAATTATATACCAGAATCGAAAAATTCTTACTATTTATTTTATTAAAAATGGAACTAGAAACTATTTATTAATTTTATATTGGAATACTGGAAAATTACTCAAAAAATAAAAAGAAAGCCAAACGAAAATTTTCGCTATTTTATTTATTTTTTTGTAACAGCTTACATAATAAACTCTACCTAAATCATGCTCAGGATCTGACAGTATCGCTAGCCTCTCAAAGCAACTCTTCTTTCATCTGCGATAGGTGGCGTCTGCGTAAATGGGCTGTCTATAATAGACTATATCTGAATAGTCGGTCTGGTTCAGCGGGTGGTGTATTTTCATTCCCAAGATAGCCGGTTCTACATGCTCGAGTTTTCCCCGACCGAGGACGGCTTTTTTAGCTGTACTATAATAGCCCCATTCAATAGATTTTCCAGAAGAGAAAATTATCAGAAAAAGTTATTGAACGCAAAACTAGTAAAAACTTGCAACTTATGCCCCTTTGACACTTTCTTTCCTTTCAGTTGGGAATATTTCCCATCGTTATAAAAATTAGAAAATCTATATTCAATTTAAATTACTCACCAATATTTTTATTTTAATAACTTTGTTTTGGGCAAGTATTCATCAAATCTTCCTCTTAAACACTTTTTTTTTTTTTGAATTTGCAAATTCCTGCTAGTAAATTTTTAAATTGCAAGTAATTGCAGATATCTTGGATTGTTACGCTCTCGAATTTGCTCTATTGTAATTTTTTGAGTTATTGAACGCACTACCAGTAAAAACTTGCAAGTATCGGTAACAATTCGTAAACATTTATTAATATTGAAAGGACCTAACCTTGAGAAGGTGGGTGAAACCCATTAAGTTTGAATTTCACGCTGAAAATGAGTTGTGTTTTACTTGCAATCCACAATACTTCGAATATATTTTGACTTATTGATTTCTAAATTAAAGCTATACCTATTTTTAGCAGTCATATTGTAATTTCGGTCATAATTTCTGACTAAGAGTAGGTATTATTGTAGAGAAAATATGTAAAACAAAACAGGTTTATCTCTTTTTTTTTAATTTGTATATAGAGAACCGGGCTTTTTTAGATTACCATTTTTCGAATAACTTGAAAACCGGCTTTTGAAAAAAGGCGAGTAATCGAACACCCCAATACTTACATACATATGTATTTGAAATACTAAGATCTATACTTTTTTGTATTTTTTTACATTTGTCGTTGTTTTTAAGTTTAGTTTACACTTAATATTCAACCTTTTGTTGTTCTTGTCACGTATGTTTTGATAGTGTTTTCTTCTTTTCTTGTCTGTGCTTACACGTAAATCTCGGTTTTGTGTTTTTTTACTATATACGCCTATAATAATTGTGTTAGATAAAATTTGACAAAAATATGGCAAAAATGTGGCACAAGTTTTTTCTTTTTGTTGTATTATATTATTATTAAATCTCAATATATTTTTGTTTCCTTTTTTGTTCTCTAGAATTATAATCGTTTAACTTTTCTAACCATTACGCTTATTTGCAGCTTCAATTATTATTTGTATGTAAGTTTCTTATTTTTTCCTTATTGAATTCTTCGTAATTTTCGTTAATTTCTAATTGAAAAAATAACCGAAAGTACATGCAAACATGATAAAAACATAGCAAGGTAGAACCGTTCTCTCAATTTGTCGGCCATGATTTTTTTTTTGAAGTTTGCCAACATTTTAAAATCATATAAAAGTGAAAATAAAAAATTGAAATTGTTCGAATTGTTGTTGCTTGAGATTGAAAATGAAAATGTGTGTGTGAGTTTGTGAGTAAATTTAAAAATTAAATTGTTTGGAAACGTCAAGAATTTTAAAAGTGACTCCCAGCGGTTCTACCTTACTATATTTTTATCATGCATGCAAACACATAATTCCCAGTTTTTCTATGCCCACGCAAATGGATATGTTGTGCATGTACATATAGAGTACCCCCGAATTGAGCATTTTGGAATAGAAAATTCTGATTCAAATTCCCTTTACGGTGGCAACAAACTGAATTTCAACTAAATTCTTTCCAAAAGTGTGTCTAAAAACTTTCGGTCCTCTTACTTTTGAATTTTCAAATCTATTAGACTCCGTAGAATAATATTGAGTTTATTTTCAAGTGTCTAAAAAATTTTAGTCTTCGAATTTTGAAATTTATAATTTTTCCCGCAGTAAACTTTAAACTTGAGTAACACAGCGAGAAAGGACACCGTTGTATAGCATAATGAGTCTCTTGCCATACTAAAGAATAATTGCTTAGAAGTTTTTAAAGTAATACCATGTTCGGACCGACAACGAAAACACTTTGAAAACGAGTTTTGGGATTGTGGGCTGAAGGCTGTTCGCACCGGCTCTTAGTATTTTCGTTGACATTTCCTACTGCCTTTGTATTACATATTCGCTACAAAAAAACAAAACCAAAATATTTTTCTGTCATTTTCTTTTCATTAACAACCTTTTCTTTTATTCTTATTTTAATTTGGCCAGCCAATTAACAATGAATCCGAACTGGATAATTAAAGATGATAAAATATGACTTCCATTTCGATAAATACATTTATCTAAAAAACTAGTGCATACACCGATTGGAATGAGTGGGACGTGAGTTTTCAAGTAGTTTTCTGCGAAAACTGGTCTTCGTTTGATAGATTTTACATGGACGAAAACACAAGTTTTAGGTCGAAAACCAGTATTAGCAACGAAAACATGTTTTCGATGTCGGTATGAATATGGTATAAGACCCCGTACACATGACCACATTTCCTTGCATTTAACACAATATGGAATGACAGATCTCCGAGTGTACTTCTTCTTTACAAAACTCCCTGCTAAAATTTGAGGACCAGGTGGTCCACTGGGTCGTAGTTTTAAAGTATGTGCAAAAGAACCAGGTTGCATACTAGTAACTGGTTATGCTGACCTGGACCACTTCAAACGTAAAAAGCTGATATATGGCCCATCGCCAATATGATTCGGATGCCGAATGTGCTCCAAAAGGAGTAGTTGTCTAGGTGGGCCCATGTTATGCAGCGTGGGACCAGAGGTGGTCAGGTCCAATGACATCGCAATGTTAATGTAACCATATTTTCTCCATATATTTGGACCATTTTGGTTACTAGTGTTGGTTAAAGTAGCGTGGTCCTGTACTAGTATTTAACCTAGTCCCACTTTTTGCAGGGCTGTATGACCCTCTTCTTTATGTGACAACATCAAGGTGAACTCCAAAAATTAGAGGAGAACTGGTCCGAACTAAATAAAATGCAGCTCTGATTGCCTTTTTTTCATTCTCATAAAAAAGTTGTTTTCTAAAAACAAGTTCGACTGCGATTAAATATTGCTTTTCGGTTCCTAAAATTAAAAAAATTTATTCGATCTTATAAGTTTCACCAGACATGTGAGTCGTTTATTTTGAAAGTGGCATAAGTCACTTCTTACCTCTTGTACTTAAATGGCCGGTTACTTGTATCTGGACGCGTCGGTTATTCGTCCAACTTCATCAACATAAGGTAAAGGTTGTGTCATTAGTTTATGACGATAGAAAGATTTACAGATGCATCCGGTTACAAGTAACCGGTCATTTAAGCACAAGAGGTATGAGTGACTTAAGCCACTTTCAAGCCGAAGGTTGTGTCTTTCTACTGCTTTGGGGAAATTTAAGTTAAGTTGATAACCATTGACTCCGTGAATCAAAAAGCTTTATACAAATCCGAAAAAAATGGTTATGGTGAATGTGGGTTAAAATTACACCCTATAAAGAAAGAAAAATTAAATATGTTAATAATACTTACATATATAAATACATATATAAGAAGCTACATAGAATGTGAGTTCAGTAAATACTTATTCCAAACAATTTTATGGATTTTTCGACTTCTATGTCCGAGGTCTTTTTCTTAACCTGTAGAGTATAAAATCAGCAGGGCTTATATTTTCATGGACTGACAACAAATAAAAGGGTAGGCCATAAAAAACTATCGCAATAAAAAGTGCCATTTTAGTATATGCAATACTACGAACGCTTTAGAGGTTCGGGTTTACTCGGTTCAATTAGGGCCGTTTTCTCAAATAGGTAATGTATCTGCCCTTTAAACAAAAATTGTAGAAATATCCTTAGGTTTACATATATATGTGTATTTGCCTTTTGCAATTTTGGCATTTTGTCTTTTGCCGTCACTTCCTTTAATACTTTCCCGTTTATGAATGTGTGTATATGTTTGTTTGCATAATAGCATGTATTTACATTCTCTGGCCAAAGAATGAGAACAGTACTCAGATGTTTATATTTTCAAGTTTATCCGATTTTATGAATTTTGATTATTTTTTTATAAAAATATAGTTGCTTTAATAACATAAACCATATAAATCAAATCTTTAAATTTTGTGAAAAGTTCGCGAAAATCCAACAAATTAAAAAAAAATGTTATTTAGTTTTGTATGGGCCTAATTCTTAAATATTGTGTTTGTTGGGTCGGAGCTGCTTCGGCCGTGGAATAAAAAAGGCTTTCCTACGTCTTTCGACACTTGCGTATCATCTTCAAAGTGTCTGCTTTATTTGAACGATAAACAATAAACATGACCAATGAAAACCATGATTAACAAAAACATAATAATACATAGTTACATACATTTGTATATACATACGGTTGCCAGACGTACTGATTTTATCAGTACAGTAATTACAGTTAATTTCTTCAATCAGTACGCTAATGTCCTGATTTTTCATAATTTGTACTGATTTGTACTGAATTTTCAATTTAAACAAAATACTTTATGATTTTCTTAAGGTTTTTACATAACGTTGGAACTTGCTTAAACTGCACTGTAAAAAGTGGGAAGCAAATAATTTAATTATAGTTGAAATATTTCAAATAATGTTTGATATGCCCAAGAAATTAATACAATCGCTGGGTCGTTACGTACCAGTTGCGATAATATGATGAGCTTAAATTATTTAAAAATAAGGCTGACGTTTTTTTGTCGAGTGTTGTTAGTTATCTCGAAAATATCTTTCAGTTTAATAACTTAAGCTGCCTTTAGATGAGGTGATTTTTTGGGAGGCGATAAACGCCTGCAAAAGTTGACTTTCTGTCTACTTTGAGGCAAGCGATTTTTTAATCCCGAGCGATTTTTCTTCAGCAATATTGAATCGCCTAAAAAATCGCCTCATGTCAATTCAGCTTTACAATTCTTTTTTCTCAATTTACTGACATTGTAAAAGAGTTTTGCATACAAGACATAGAGTAGGTATCTAACTCTATATATATAACTCTTATTAGCAAATTCTTATGGTCTGATTATAGCAACTTAACGTTACTTGCAGCTCTCTCTTAAAAATTCTGTTAAATGGGTGTTGCTTATAATTGAACAGCCGAAACTTAACGTAACTTAATGCCACGTGGAAATCTGTTTCATTTTGATTCTCTAAGTTCTACGTTCCGTTAAGTTAAGTTGCCATAATCAGGCCTTTAGTCTTTCCATGAGGATATATAGAGGAAGTTCTTAAAAAGTAATACTTTTCCACAGTTTGAAAAAATATGTAAAACGAAGCAACTGAGAGGATCTTAGTATAAGGTTTGCTACCTTGCGCAAAGAGAGAAACTGGCTTCTAATTAAAATTTTTGAAATTGAATTTCAAATTAAAAGAAAAGGAAATATTCTATACATTTCGACTATTTAAGCACTGAAGATGGAAATTATCTCATTATTGCTATTCAAAAATGTCATAAATATAAAATAATTCATTGGCTCCTGTGTACAATTATGTGTACACTCATGTTAAAATGAATAACATTTTTATTTTTTATGAACTATATTTCAATTATATACCAAAATATTGTTAAAAATAAGTACACTGGCGTTTTAAAGTATTATCTGTTACTTACATTCATAATTTCGCTTTGAATAAAAGTGTACTGAAAAGTACTGATTTTTTAGCATGAAAAAGTCTAACGTACTGATTTCCCGCATAAAAAATCTGGCAACCCTACATATACATAACAATAATTACATAAACATATAACAATCGTCGTTAAACTTTTTAATCAAAATGAGTATGCAGTTTGATAGCCCATTCAATTCTAGTATGATAAAGTGCAAGCTTGAAGTGGCTCATAATTCGCGTTTATTTTTGTGATTTTTTTATGAAGGTGTTTCGCATTTTCTTCCATACAAAGAATGTATGTTCGACAAGTTTTTATATGGAAGGAATTGCATAAAACCGTTAGCAAAAAAGTACAAAAAATCAACGCGAATTTTGAGCGACTTCAAGCTTGCGCTTTATTATACTGAAATTAATTGGGCTATAAACTCAATACCCAATAATTCTGATTAAAAAGTTCGCACCTTTAATGAAATTTTTTGAATTTGCACAAATATTTTTATAAAAAAAACAATTAAGTTTCAAAAAATCGGATAAACTTTACTGTTAAAAATTTCTCACGCACATACAACTCCTATGGGACCAACCAAAATGGAACGGCGTGCGTAAGAAGCTAACTCAAATTCCAATTTTTGCTCTGCCTGAGATTTTGATTTGACCTTTCGCTCAGTGAAATCAAATGCAAACGCACGCAAGCTAATTTCGGGTGACGCAGAAAAACAAATTAGACGGAGTGCGTTTATATTAGGTTAGGCTGTAAACCTCTGAGTACTATTTCTAATAATTTTGCCAGAGATTGTACATATGAATACGAGTAACACGCACACATGTTTGCGCAATGCATTTAGAAAAAAAATTGTTAACGTTTTTTTTTGCTTTTAAATATGACAAAATATACATATGATCAAATTCGTGTTTGTTTTTTGTTATTGGCTTTATTTTTCTTATTTAAATATTTTTGTTTTTGCTTTTTGCATATTGTTCATAACACTTTTAGTACCATTTGTTTGAAAAATAAATTCGTTTAGAGTTTCATTTAAGTCTATCATTAAGTTATATTCTTCATCATTTTTTTGTTTTCTTTTATCTATACATGTATGTCTGTACTATGTGTAATTTTGCATTACCAAATATGTTTTTGTACGTTATATTTTGTTAAGATTTTCGTTAAAAATGTGACTTAATTTATACTATTTATAAGCTTGTATGTATGTCATATATTATTTCATTAACTTGTACATTCATTGATGTGTATAGCATATTTGTAAGTATGTATGTATGTTTTACCATTTTTTTTTGTGTGTATGCACGCGTAAGTCTCTACCAAGTCAAATTTAAATTTCGGACACTGACTGAACTGCAATTGAATCGTTTTGTATCTCTGTTTCACAGCCAATTACCTGGTAACATACATACATGAACATAAAGTTACTCCCAAAAGGAGCGTACGGCTCTTTTTTGTTAATATTCGTAATGTTTTATATGCTAAACATTTTTTGTTAATTTTGTATTAAAATATGGTTTATATTTTAGCAAACTCCATGTAAATCCAAGAATAATACTGTGTACAAAAATTAAGAAAATTCTGCAAAGTTTCAGCAAAATCGCGAACTTTTTAATACGAATTTCTAAAAAGAATTCAGGTATGCAGTTTTTTAGCCCATTAAATTTTAGTATAATAATGTGCAAATTTCAAATCTCTAAAAAATCGCGTTTAGTTTTGAGAATTTTTTTGCTGACTGTCCTACGCATTTTTGTTAATATAAAAAATTTTCAGAATTTTTTTTTATTATGAAAAAAAAAGTGCGTAGGACAGCCAGCAAAAAAATTCTCGGGTATTAAATAGTTCGCGATTTTGCGGAAACTTTGCAGACCTTTCTTAATCTTTGTACACAGTATCATTCTTGGATTTAAATGAGATTTGCTAAAACATAAGCCATATTTTGAAACAAAATTAAGAAAAAAATTTTAGCATGTAAAACATTGCGAATATTAACAAAAAAGAGCCGTACGCTCAATTTTGGGAGTAACCGTATCTACACCAAAAAATATTCATCAGAATACTACCTCTTGTGCCGCAAATTCATGACCCAGGAATTAATGACTTGATTTTCGGCGAATTTCTGTATTGACGGATGGCAAGTACGAGAAATGGCTAGACCCTATAAACTGTTTGGGAAAATCATGATAATTTTTTTTTTAACCTATTTGCAATATAAAGAATTCGTTTTTGATAGAAGTACCCATTCTCGGTGGTCAAACCTAAACAAAAGAACAGAGGTAGAGTGGTGAAAAAACAGTAAAGTCGGCGCTCAAAGTTTTCCATGTATTTTATATGGGGTAAAAACTTTTCGTAGAAATGATATACAATTCTTGAAAATCAATATTTTTCGATCGAAAAACTCTGGTTCTCTTCAGCAGACTTCCAGTATTAATACGCAACAGTTAACTTAACCTTTTTAAACTACTAAAGATTTTTTATTGGTCCCCCATTGCAGTTTCTAGGGGTTTTGGCCGACCTATAAAATATAGTTACCATGAAAAAATGGTTAAAGAAATAATTGAGTACCATTATTGGGGCTCTCTGATTGAAAAATATTGATTTTCCAGAATTCTACATCATTTCTACGAAAAGTTGTTTTTTCCCGATATAAAATACAGGGGAAACTTTGAGCGAATTGAGCACTCCCTAATTTTTTTTACCTCAAAACAAAAAAAAATAGGGGTATATTTTTTCGGTATATAACAATCCTAGGGTGTGGCGGCATTAAAATTCCGACTAAATTAGCCAGTTTTAGAGTTTCGTCAACGGCCAAATTGAAAATGATGCTCACAGTATGTAGAGTTCTAGAACTAGAAAGCGAGTGTTCTTGTTATCTGATAAAATTGTTAGCGAAATACGTAACAGGCGTTCACTTACTATACTTAAACGTAGAAAATCGTATGTCACCGCACTCTGAAGATACAATTCGCTTTAGAGTATGAAGATATTATTATCTGAATTTCAGAAACTTATTGCTTGTGAATAAGTTTTCGTTGTAGTTTCGCTACAGTACCAGTAAATTTTTACTTTACTGGATTCTCATAGGCTCTATTCTGAAAAATGCTTTTGAAGGAATTGTTATCACTGTTTTTGTCAGCCATCACTTGTATTTCAAACCGCCTCTTTTCGATACGAATTGGTTAGTTCTTCAAAAGAAAATGCTTTTTTTCAAAATCAGTGCGAAAAATAACACAAGCCAAGAAAATGAGTGTGACTTCCTTACCTAGAAACCTGACTATACTTTTCCTAAGGGAATCGCTCTATAACGTCATAATTTTGAGATATCCAAACCTGAAAGTGGTTAAATGGCACTGTTTGGCTAATTTCAACAACTTATATAATCAATAATACATTTTTTCAAATATTTTCACAAATTTTACCTTAAAGTACATTCCTTCACCTTCGAACATCTTTTTTCGTTTTTTAATCAGATTGGTTTCTTATATTTTTTGGCGCAGTCATGATTCGGTTGACATGGAATTTTGCCTATACATACAATATATTTTCTTTCAGTTTCACATATGCACGAACCTTTTCTAACCACATTTTTACAAAAACATTACTTTCGTTGGGTTTTCATTACTCCTCATCTTCTACTAATAGATATGTGAGTTAAAAAAATACCTATGCGTAAAAAATAAAAGGTATGCTAGTTTTTTTTTGGGTGGTGTAGGACCGTGCCGAGCTTCACTGCGTGTTTTCGAATGTTCTGCACCCGTGTCGGGACCAAGAAATTATGTGCGAGCCCATCTGTACTTTAAAGATAAATCTATCTTTTGAGAAGTACAGTTTAATTTAACGAATAATTTTTTTCGTACAAAATTTAAACCCCTTATTGTGATGGTAGTTTCGACAGTTATTTTTAAAAAGTTTCATGTAAGTTCATTAAAAATGGCAGTTAGAGAATAATGAAGTAGTATCATTTTATAATTTTGAAATCAAATGATCAAGGCCTTTTCGTATATGGTGACGACTTGAAATTTTTTAATTTTCGCGCGGCTTGGAAAGTCAAATTTAAATTAGGGATGTTGGAAAACAACGATGCATCGAAAATATCGATGTTTTGCTTCGATGCATCAATGTTTTTTTGAAAACTGACAACTCTGTTATATAGAACCGTCATTTCAGTTTAGCGATCGCACACAAAAGAGAAGTGACTTAAAATTAATTAGCCCAGTTGCAGTAATTTATTTAAAATTTTCTACGGCTTTGCAAATAACATATTTTGCCGTAAAACATTATCTGAAAAAAACCCTATACAAATCGATTCATCGATGTATGCCCTTCGATGCATCGAATCAAAGAAAAACATCAATGTATTTTTACCGCTGACATCCCTAATTAAAATATTTGGTTCCCATTTCCACACACACTCTTACAGATTTTGATATTTCACGCCGCAAAAGCAAAAACAAGAGGTATGTAATTTTTTTTTGTTCTCCTGCTGTCACCCAATTTTAATTCGCCTTGGAAATGCTGGTAGAATACTCCGACGTGGCAGAATATGATTTCCTCATTACTATAAAGTTTTTGACTTTGGTCACTGTGTTTTCTCTGGAGGTCAGACTTGTTCGCGATTTCAAAGTTTGGAGGACACTTTCGGGATTCCTCACGATTATTTTTTCAGATCCTAAATAAAGGCTAAGAGCCAGTTTTTCAGTGCCAGTTTAAACTGAGATTAAGTAAACTGAGTTTAAATTGAACAGCTGGCTGACATTTGATTAGCTAATCTTAGTTTAAACCAGCCATATCGAGCGTTTAAACCTAGTTTAAACCGCGCCGGGCACTGAAAAACTGGCCCTAAGTACCGTTTTCTCATGTAGGTTTTAAAATTTATCTTCCCTTCAAACACATTTTTCGGAGCAACATTTTAGTTTAAAGTGCAGATAAATTTTCAAACCTACATGAGAAAATGGACCTATTTAAGTGTAATAAAATTTTCTCGCTGAGAATAGAAAACTATCTTAAGGGAATTTCTCGCTTTTTTCATAGAATGCACACTCGGTACTCGGCATCTAACCATAGTGGTTTTGATGCTAAAAGAACCTATAAAAAGTTGCCATCGTCAATATCAGCAAAACATGCGCGTTTTCATACATATGTACATATCGTCGATGCTTTTGCAAAACCGCCTATCTTACGGCACTCAAATTTTAAAGAAGAGAGAAAAAACTGTTTTTCTTTGAAGGCATGCAATTGATAGGCGGTATTTTCTCAGCTTTTATTGTACAAATCGGTTGTTTTAATAACGATTTTAAAATTTTTATGCATAAATCTCGATGCCCGCAGTTCAGGGTTACCAAATTTAATTTTTGCCCTTACTGGGATTTAGGCGGCTCTGCAACTGGTCGATGGGCGGTTTTGTAAAGGCATCGACAATATGTTTATCTTCTTCTTTTGATTGAAAGAAAATCAAAGCCCTTTTCTAGTCCTCTTGAGTCTTTTGAAGATGGAATGTGTACTTAGCGTCATGTTTGTTTTCTACTAACTGCCATGAGATGCTTCAGTGCGTTCATGAGTAAAAATGTGGAATTATAGAAAATAAACAATACCAAAAATTACTATGCATAGCATTGAGGTTGCTACTGAAATTGTGTTGCTTCCGGTGTTGATGACTCTTTCGATGGAATTTAGCACTTCGCATTTGATCTCGCTTGACTGCGGCACTAATTGTTGTTCTTGCCGTTACGTAACGCTAATAGCGCCTTTTTCCCCACCAGGAGTACTCGTATTAACAACAACATTAGCGACACTAGAGTCTGCTGCTGTCGCCGTCCCTGTGCGCCGGTTAATCGGCGTCAAGGAGACGCTGCTGTTTGTGGTTGCTGAATTGCAGCCTGTAGTAATTTCTTCCGCTGCCGACGTAGTTGAAGTTGCTGCTGCTGTTGTAGTTGTTATAGAGGAGAGCGTTGCAGTCAAAGCGTTGGCTGGTGGTCCGCAGATGTTGGTCGCACTCGGCAAGTTTGAGTCATTCGTTGCACTTAAGCCGCCGCTGCGGTGTATACTGTTATTGATGCTCGCAACTGCCGCCGCGCCAATTATGTTGGGTATATGCACGCCTGCTGCCGCCGCCGCTACTGCCGCCACGGAAGCCAGGTGGTGGCTAAACTGCTGGAAGTGCTGATTAAAGAGCGGTGAATGCTCTTTGGGATGGTGGTGGTGCGCATGGTGGAGGGTGGTGTGATGTTGCATAGGCGGTGGCGGGGGTGGCGGACCGGACGAACCGCACAGATGAAATTGCTGCTGATATTGTAGCGGTGCTGGCGGCAAGAGCTGCTGATGCGGAGTCGCAGATGTTGGCAGGCGCGAGGCCAGTTGCTTCTGATGGCTACTGACTTTATATGTCTGTGTGGTACCATTGCTAACGCTAGAGGACAATGTTGTTGAGCACTCTGTGCCTGCCACATTAAGGTTCTCATTGACGCTGATGCTTTGCGACTTATTGTGACTGCTACTATTGCTTATACTTTCACTACATTTTGTCAGCTGATTGATGCTTAGTGGGTTGTTGATGTCATGTGGATTTGCGCCGATTGGATTTCTATGCGCTGGTGTAACATTTGACTTTTCCAAGTTGTCGGCAGCTGGCGAAGAAGCCGCTGATGAAGCGGATGAGGATTTGCCATCGATAAGTGGAGTGGATTTGTTTGCATTCGACTGAGTAGCGGGCGCTAGTTGAATGCTCTCGTAATTACCATTACTGCCCAATTCGCTAGGGTTCTCAGTGGTACTTAAGTTGCTGGTGTAGGAATTGCAACCATTTGACGTTCCAGTCTCAACGGTTGTGGAGTAGTTAGTTGTAGTGTCGCTGGAAGCGACGCTGACTGACGTAGATCTAGAAGTTCTGGCATTTACGCTGGACGTTGCATTGCTGGTGGTATTAGACAGCATTTGAGCAATGGACACGATCGCGCCGCCTTTCGATTCAAGGCTGCTTGGCGGAAAACAATTGCTATGAAGTAGCGAAGTAGACGGACTAGGATTCAGTAGTGTACGCATTGTGCGTTCTGTAAAGGCGGACGCCGCAGCCGCAGCAGTCGAGGATGAGGTATTTGTTAAATTATTACCGAGACCCATGCCACTGGCGCCATTATTTGACAGAGCTGGCGACATTAATGTATCGTCAACTCCGCCGCATACGCCTTCCATGCCGCCACCACAGAAGAACGATTTTGTTGCCTTCGAGTGTTCAAAAACACTGCTGTTAGCGAGCGCCTGTTCCGTATGCGCAAGCGGGTAATGTTGCTGCGGATGCTGTTTCAGATGCAGTTGCTGCGGTGGGCAAGACAATCGCGCCTGCTGTGCCGCCGACGTATCAACAATGCTGCTCGGCTGCACCAACTGCTGCTGCGCTTGTAGTGACGACGCATGCTGCGGCAATTGTTGATGGGATTGCGCATTCTGCTGCTGATACTGGTGGTCGCCGAGACCGAATGTCAGGCCCACTGTAACCGGTGCTGCTGGACTGGCGAGCAGATTCAATGGACTCGCCAAGCTAGTGGACGGACTCTGGAGACTTGACAAACCGCTAAGGCAGCCTGGACTAGATAACGAATGATTCAGCGACTCTGTGTCATCATCCGGGGTTTTATTGTTGTCATCACCGCTGCCTGGACTGCCCAAATTATCATCGCTTTCAGGGTCGTCTAGGTCATCCAATTCTTGATAACAATCGTCCTTAGTGCTGCTACTGCCGGCACTGCCGCTGCTTATCGCTTCCATGTAACGAATACATTTCTTTTTGCGCCTATGTATTTAATTTCGTGGAGGAAGAAGAAGCACACAGAAAATAGTAAAATTTATTAATAATTGGAAAATATTGTAATACACATGGAACTGCTAATATGCGCAATCATTAAGCGATTTCTACACACAATACTAATCTGCATTGTGCGATTTTCAAACTTTACAGTCGATTGTAGTGTAAAATTCGCTTCGCAGTGTATGTGTAGTTTTGTGAATAAATAAATAAAAAGGTATAAATCGATATATCGCGCGTTTAATAATATAACGAAGTATTTCAAAATTTTAATTTTGTGGGAAAATGCAATCAAAGTTTTGTCAATTCATACAGTTGGTATACAAAAAGACAGATGGAAAGACACATATTTCGGAAGTTTGGTTATCTGTTAGGCTGAACATATTCTACTCATCAAGCTTATTAATTGCATAATGAAATCTTCGAAAACGTAAATTTTGATTTAAATCTCTATATTATTAAACGTGCGACATAAGTATACATACATCCGTATGCTATAAACATTTCAAAATACTGAAATATTACGAATAAATGATTAATAGAACAAAATGTCTTACGATATACTTGGTAAAAGACAAAAAGTAAAAAAAACTCTCAACTACGCGTGCAACATGCGACATCTAAAAGGTGACTTTTAAAGCCCAGAAAAATTTGTGAAAACTTCACAAAAACTAAAATTATTAATAAAAACAACTGCGCAAAATTCTTTCACAAAACATATAATAGCAAGTAGGGTTAGGAAGCGGGGCAACGTCAACGAAGAGATGCAACAAAAGATAACTGTGATATGAAGCAGAAGTCCTTTTATCTAACCTTCGCAACAGCACTGAATCCACCGAGCTGTATGTATTAGTTAGAAAAATTTTTCACTAAATGGCAACTTTCCACAGTATAACTAATTCAAACAACAATTTACAGAAAAAAATCTATTTACAAAATAATCTAAGAACTTATTAAAAAAGAAATATAAATAAATATCATGGATACTATAAATAAATTTACATACACATAATGTTCTTCATATCACACCTGCAAATCAAAGTTCCTAAAATCTTAACGAAATTTTTAGGAGTATCTCATATCTTTAACAATTTTTTTTACGAATCTTCAAAGAAAATTATATGAAGTGGTTGACACGAACTCGTAAAGAAATTTCTGTACGAAAAATAAAGAAAATTCTGAAAAAAATCTGCAAGAAATTCTTCACATAGCAGAATTATTTTCTTTGTTTTACCGATTTTCTTCCGAAATTTCGTAAAAGAATCGAAGCGTGCACAGTTTATTTCATTTTAGAAAATTCGGCAAAAAATCGGATGAGATCTTTACGAATTCTTTAAAATTTCTCTACAACTCAGAATACTCCGAAAAAATGGTTTGCAGGTACATTTCCCTTTCTGCAAATAAAAATATTGCCTCAACAAATAAACGATTATAAAAGAAATGAGTGCTTAAGCCACACCACGCCAGTGACATATCTCGATGCATTTCTTTCATACTATAGAGTTCTAAATCTCAATCTCAGCGTTAGTCTAAATTTTAATCTTTATCTAAATGCTCCTAATCATAACCTTCTCTCAATCTCAAAATTAAACCAAAACGAGTTTTTAATAAAAAAAAAAAATATATAAAAGGTATTGTGTCTTGAATGTGGAACAAACAGAGGCAGTTTTGAAACTGTCTACTATATGTGGCTTAGGTCAATTTCTGCTTTTACAAATTATTTGCTGCGTATTTGCCGAGTACAAAGTAACGTTAGAAATACAGGTCTTTGTTGTCTGTTGCTTTGCAAAAGAATAATGCATTATATTCGTAAACTATTACTGCTACAGTACGGCAACTCAGTATATTGTTACACTAATCGAAACCGCATCGAAAGCGCAAACAACTCAGAAATTTACCCTTTCTACATGGTAGATTGTTGAAAGTAAGCCCAACAAATTTCTTTCTAAAATACAATAATTTAATAAATGTTATTATTATTTTCAATTTGTTTGGAAATTCAACATTTCCGATATCATCTTGCAAAAATTCGCGATCTTAAACAAAAAAATGTTGCTAGATTAACTGATGTACGACATCAAGTCAGAGTTGCGAATCATTGTGATACCGCAACACTGCAAATCAGAGTGTCCAGATTTGGCGATTTCGCGCCAATTTGGCTATTTTTTTGGATATTTGCGCGTAAAAATTTAGGAAATCGCCATTGGCGATTTTTTCCCTTCAAATAAATTTTTTCCAATTATAAAAATATACAAATCTTAGTTTTTCACGATAATTTTGCAGAAGAGGCTAATGAACTGCGTGATAAACTTGACTTAAGAAGCATATTAAAAGACTGTCAAAAATGTTTAATCACGCTAATCGAAGAACTTTTGAAACGATTACCTAGTTAATTGAATACTTTTAAAAAAGCTTTGATTTTGTCACCAGAAAAGTGTGTGAATCACAAGAGGGCGAGGGACCTGCCAATTCACTATTTGACTTTGAAGGAAAGAAAAGTAGCGGAAACTGAATATTTAAATCTTTTAACTTTCCCATGAAATAACTTTTCTCAGCACCATTCCATCCGACTCTGAAGAATTTCGGAAAATTGCTTACGGAGTGAAAACCGCAACAGGCAATAAAATGTTTGGAAATACAAGTAAATTCATATTATTATTCTTGCCGCACTCACATGCTTTGTTGAGCGCGTTTTGTCCTTAATGAATTCAACAAAAACTAAGATTCGAAATTGGATGAGGTTAGAAAGCCTTAATTCAATACAGTAAAACCCGCTTAAGTACCTCACGAAAAATGTCAGCTTTTTGAGGTACTTAGGCGGGTTGGGTAAATAAGCGGGGAGGTACTTAAGAGAGGGATTTTCTTCTGATTATATTAAAAAATTCACGGTGTCCAAAAATGTTGGTTACTTAAGCGGGTTAGGTACTTAAGCGGGTTTCACTGTAGTTCGAATAAAGTGTTATATGAAGGCTAATAGTTTCTGCTGCAAAACGTTTCCAATATCAAACAGTATGTTATCAAGGTTGAATAGCTCAATATATGACAACAACAGAAATGTAAATGATTCATACACTATAGGTGATTTTGAAAAAATTGTAGAAATAGCTGATCTCGCCTTATTATAGGTTTTTATTTAATTTTTAGCGCCGAGCTCTTAAAAGCGGATTGCGCGATTAATCAATTAATGTGAGTTATAATAAATTTAATAATTGCGCAGTCCTATCGCAAAATGTGTTGAAACAAATATTTTTAAAAAGTATGCGTATATTTAAAGAAACTTGTTTTTACATCACTATTACATAAGAGATTTGTGTTATTTATTATTAAAGGTATTATATTCGTTTGTATATATATTATAACAAGATGTCATTTTTAAAATAAAAGATTTGTTAAATCGATTTCATGAATTTTATTTAAAAAAAAAAATTGGCGATTTTTGGCGATTTTTTTTCAGAAATTGCGCTTTTTTTTAAACAATCTGGACACCCTGAAGAAGATAGCCACATGGTTAAAGAGTATTTTCAGGATCCAATATACTCCAAGACTTTTCATTGGGGAAAACTAAAATTACTAATATTTTGTGTCATGTGGTAGCTTCTGAAGAAGAAGATGAAACTATCAATATCATTCACTCTCAATATCAATATAGGTACATATGTAGACAAAGAGGTGTCCCTCCCTTCCGTTGCAACCCAAGTGTAAAATTTTTCCCTTACTATTATTTAATTCACTACCGCCCCTAAAGAAGTTTCATTTTAAAAATCTTCCATAAAACCTGAATGTATATACGTATATAAGAAGGTCATAAAAAAGATTATAACTACCCGAACATTACCCCCATCCCCGGATCGAAAGCTCACTTCAAGCGGGTTTCTGTCCTTGTTGCGTCCTAAAACAGGTGAAATTGAGTTTTCTTTACATCCCTTTTGCGTCCAACTTCAAAGTTTGGAAATGACGGCATGAATTAGCTTCCCAATTGAATTATTTTAATCTTTAACTGGAAATATATTTACTGAACGGAGCTGCTACTAGCAGTTGATTATCCTATTAAACCATTACTCCCGTAGTCATTTTCGGAGGATAAGGGCATATAAGTATACACCAGGGACGAGGAGGCCAGTGGGTTCTAGGGTTCCACTTAGAAAACTCAGTCCCATATCAAGCTAAAAAGTCGTTTCTGGCTTCAAGTTTTGTTTGAAGATTCTTTCAACGAAGCGACCAAAAACATTTGTCGAAGCCTAAGACGTTAGCGATTTTTTTTTATCTTCAAAAAGCTATTGAAATTCTAAGATGAGTTCTCGAAAGCGCTGCTGGGGTTCAAAATTTTTTGCTCAAGCCCACAAATAGAAAATGTGTTATTTAAATGCTTGATATGAGGACGAGATAAATATGACCTGCAGTGATTCCATCTTGCCTATTTCACACATTTTCTACAGGAGCAAAAATGCAAATTTCGTGAGAACTGACCCCTATTTTGTGAATATACTTAAGTACTTAAGTTGTAAATTAAATGTCCATTAGTGAAAATAATTCACCCATTCCTTGAAAATATATAAACCATAAATGGCAATGTAAATTAACAACAGATTATTAGCTTCTAGTCGTAATAACCAAAAGTGAATTGTTAGTTGAGCACCAGCTTCACTTGCCAATTTGTTAAAAAAAAACTGCGGTCTAGAGGTTAAACGGGCTAAAACTGGGTTAGTTCTCTTTGCAACACGATACAAAGTGCCGATCTTCGAACCAATCTACCACATCTTTTCGACTCCACAACAAGTGTCGGTATATATGTACATAAACAGCTTGTAAGAGATTGCACCACTCTCGTAGCTAATGAACGCTGGAACAAGCTTTCGTCTTGGGAAACTTCGCAAGCTTCGGAAGAAAGTAACGATAAAATACAAGTAAGGTGTGGAACCAGTACAAGGTAATTTTAAATAGGTATGTAAAGTTCAGCCGGGACGCCTCCCGCCAGGTATTTTGCGATT